AAGATGGAGCCAGCGTCTTTTCTGATAGTCTGGAGTGGCTCCCAAACTTTGTCCTTCCTGGTGTTTCGGACTTCAGCTTCCAGCATCCCTGACCATTGGCTTAGCCGGATAGGGGTTTGGGAGGTGAAGTCCAAAACACCCAGAGGACCAACGTTTCAGAACCGTTCTTCTGGAGGATAGGACTCAAACTAAAGGATTCAGGTTACAAGAAGTTTCAGGAATACATTAGGAAGAACTTTCTGGAGGCAAAAGCTGTGCAACAGTGGAAGACACTGCTGCTTTGGGGCCTTTGCAGACTGCCAGAAATAGTGCACATTAAATTGAGGTACTGCCCTGGCTCAGTGCTAGGGAATCATGGGAACTGTAATTTATTGTGGCACCAGAGCTCTCTGACAGAGAAGGCTCAATGTCCCAGAAAAAAATACAGTTCCCATGATTCCCTAGCACTGATCCAGGGCAGTACCTCAATTTAATGTGCACTATTTCTGGCAGTCTGCTTAGGCTTTTGGAGAGTGGAGGAGTCTCCTTCTTTAAACAGAGAGGCTGGAGGGCCATCAATTGGGGGTGCTTTGATTGGGAGTTCCTGCATGGCAGAAGTGGGTTGGACTGGATGGCCCTTGGGGTCTCTTCCAACTCTAGGATTCTACGATTCTGTGCTTCCTGGAAGACATCGGCAGACATCAACTCTCCTTTAAAACAATGTGTGTATGTTGGAAGTGGGGGATAATCTTGTTTCATTCCCAAGACGTTTTTGCAAACAGCAAGTGGAATTCTGGTTTTCTCTTGGTGTCTTTCATGTCTGAAAGATTGTCCTCTGAGCTGCTGGAGCTATCCTGCTCCTGAGGTACAATGGTGATGAAGAAGAGCCGGAGTGTGTCTTCTTTGGAGGCCTTTTGAAAACAGAGGCTGGATATGGCCATCAGTTGGGGGTGCTTTGACTGGGAGTTCCTGCATGGCAGAATGGGGCTGGGAGGGGAGTCTCTTCCATCTCTGTGATTCTGTGTCCCTCTTTCTGGTCTGGCAGAATCAGGGTGACCATCATGTCACACCTGCAAAGGAGGACAAGGCACTGCAAAATGTAGGACATGACCAAAGGAAAAGCAAAAAGCACACCTATAAAGGTAAATGCATGCTTCTTAGTCATGCCCCAAATGGAGGACATTTTGGGAATTCCTCCTGGACAGGAGAAGGTGAAAATGTAGGACAGGTCCTGGCAAAATGGTCAGAATGGGGTTGGGCTGGATGGCCTTTGATGAAGGGTCCCTTCCAACTCTCTACTAGTCTTTTTTACTTTCATGCACAAAATTCTGGCGGCTCCAGGCGATGAACAATAAAGTTTCCAAGGCAAATTAATCACTGTATGAGGGTTATAATTACCAAGCCTCGCCTCCACCTACTGATCCTCCTTCTCCTCAGGGTGAGAGAACTACATTTCCCAGCTCCCCCTCTGCTTCTGCTTCTTCTTCCTCCTCCTTCATTGAGGCAGGGGGTGGTGCTTGCTCCGCACTGCCCGCTGGGAAAGCGAGTCCCCGCCTCCTCCGCGTCCCTGCGTGCACTCTGAGGGAAGGACTCCGTTTCCCATGGTGCCCGCGGGCGCGGGAGGCGGAGCTGAGCCTTGCGCCTGCGCGTTGGGGCGTCGCCGGGGCTGTGAGGCGACTGAGGCGGCCGCCTCCGCCGCCGCCGCCGGGTGAGAGGGAGCCGGGATGATGTCGGTGCGAGTGGCGGCCCCGCCGGCCGTGGAGCTGAAGGAGCTGGGCGCCGGAGCCGGGGCCTGCGCTTCTCCCGCGGCCAACGCCGCCGCCCCGGCCCCGGCGCCTCCGCCTCCTCACCCGCAAACCGAGCCCGGAGGCGGAGGGGCGGCCTCCGCGGTGGCCTCGTCCAAGGCGCCCCAGGCCTCGGCCATGAAGCGCAGCGAGCCGCCGCCGGTCTCCTCCTCCTCGTCGTCGTCGTCCTCCTCCTCCTCCCAGGCCCAGCAGCCGCCGCCTCCGCCTCCGCAGGCCCGTCTGGGCGGCGATGGAGGAGACCCGGGCAGGGCCGGAGGAAGGCTGATGGGGGAGGCCCTGGCCAGCCCCGACGGCACCGTCACCGAGGCCCCCCGCACCGTCAAGAAGGTAAGGAAGGAAGGGGATGATGATGGCGGTGTGGGCGAGAAACATGGCTATGAAGGGGAGAGAGAAAGGGGGCAAAGGGCTGGGACAGGGGCAGGG